TCGGGTCGGAAAAACATTAAAAACAGAGAAATATTCACCTTTCTAAGTTCTATGCAAACGGCTTCACATTTGCATGGAACTTCCTGGTCTATTTGAAGTTCATGAAACAGTGAGAGATTTCAGGATACTTACATCCTGGTCTATTTGAAGGCATCATTCCTCAAGGCTTTTGTGAGATGAAGGATCCAAGAGTATGCATTTCCTTGTCTGGAAGGATTGCCATATGCGAGTCTGCTTATACATATCAAACATGGAGTAACCGTTACATCTCTGAATCAAACAGTGGGATATATCATCATTCAATACAAGGACAAAGAGAAAAGGTTTGAGTAGAGTGAGCACACCTTCTCTTTTGATACCCTTCTCTCATCACAAAACTTCTCATAAAATTGACTAATTGAAACCTGACACATAAATAATCCATATCAGAAGGGAACAAAACATGAATTTAAGACTTACTTTCCATAAACACTCTAAATGGTCTGCAGTTGTTGTTCAAAGCTTAAAACACAGTTGCAAATACATGTCTGTTCAACCTTATGATGGTAGTACTTTTGCCTTTATTGTATGTCAACGTAAGGCAGAGTGAATAAACCTTCACACTATAGCTCTTACTATCAAATCATCGACATATCAACTTTCTTGGTATTGGAGGACCTCCTTTGTACCTGAAAGATAGAAGCAAATTATCCATCAACATGAAGGTGTGATACAACTGAACCGCGCATGCACAAAGATAATAAATCTCATGTGGGTTGATGAAGCGGGTTTTTTTCCACCAGAATGGTCAGAGTGACAAGGTTATTGATGAGATTATCATAGAGATAAACTATTGCATATGAGAATTCAATTAATGTATATCACTAATATAGAATAATATGAAAAAATTTCATCAAAATACTAAATGCATCTGAAAATGATATACATTAATTGAATTTTCATATATCAATAGCGGAATTTCATTTTTTATACAAGTCAGCAAAATGGACAGCTATATGCATTTTCAGATGCATTTAATATTTTGATGAAAAATAATTCAGATTATTCTATATTAGTGATATACACTAATTGAACTTTCATATACAATAGTGTGTGCGCGTACTGCCCGTCTGCAAACACCTAATAATTTAATGAGAAATGTCATTTTTCAAGTGTCACTTTTCAAAAATGCCAAATTTTCAAAAATTTTGCAAAAATGTCACTTTTTCAATATTATTTTTTCATTATATCATTTAAGTTTTGGTTAACTATGTTGTATTAGTGTTTAGTTTTGAGGGTTTAAAGGGTTTTAAGGGTCAAAAAAAAAATTTTAGGATTTATAATTTTAAGATTTAGACTTTAAAAATCCATAATTAGTGGCACTTTTGCAAATTGACACCCTTAAATGGCATTTTTGCAAATGTACACACCAAAAGTTGCATTTTTGCAACTGCTCTGCTCCTAATTTAATTTATACACAATTATGCATATATTTTTGTAAATTGATGCATATCATAAACTTTATTAGCATATTATACTATCATCTGATAATTTTCCAAATTCATATCATCATATATATATATATTAGGATATATATATCCTATTAACAAACTCTTTCACATTTCGTTGAGCTACGTTGTTAATAAATTTCGCAATCTTTTTCTTTGATCGTTTGCACTATCCGAATATGCTTCATTCTTGTAGCATAATAATATTCATGGCTCTCCAGGGATATTCGAAACTAGTGGGTCCCACTTGTTATCAGTCATGAATCATGGTGACATTACGTAGCTTTCTTCTCTTTAGGATATGGATATTTGGATATGTAAGGTAGAAACTTAACCATACCTTCAATATCTCCTCTTATGATAAATATGGGACCCAAATGTAGATATAACTCGACAAGAACCAAACCATAATTCTTTGTCCACGAATATTCTCACCAATGCTTGTGTGTGTTTAATGTTAAGGTAATTTTTGTGTATACACCCAAGAAAAAATTGCTGGAAAGTTTGCTGAAATTTAAGCATTTAACATTACACAAATGATTATAGGAGTCTTACATTGTCTTTCTAAATCGTTTCTCTTCTCAAACCCAAAATCTATGTTGACCCGAAATTAC